TAAGGACAAACCTTTTTATTAGGCTTGAATCCAATCTAGTGGACAGCATCAACCACACAAAAAGACATGCCCTAAAAACCACGGTCAACTAAGGGCCGGTTTGGCAAAGCTCTTCCTGCTTCAGAATCTCTGTGAAGCTGATTCTTTGTGAGAAGTGATTCTCTGACTGAAATTGATTCTCTAGGATAAACTATGTGTACAGTGACTTTGTGCATGAAGTGAATCTAGAGAAACTACTTTTTTCAGCTCGGTCCCCTATATTTCATAGTAGGGCTAGGTAACGAGCCGGCTCGGCTCGGCTTGGCTCGTTAAGATAACGAGCCAGCTCGGCCCAGCTCGGCTCGTGGCTCATTTGGCTCGCGAGCTAGACATAAAAATACACAAAATATAATATATATATATATATTTAGATCTTGATAATAGCAATAATACAATAGCAATCCGTCCATAAGCCTTAAATCAAGGTATAAAAATTAATATGTGCTAATATATATACAAGTATAATAATATGATACTATAGTACTACATCACACATTCATACCATACATATGCTTCCATAATAATCTATTATTGTTTATCCATACATCCATTTAAAATAAAGTGATAGAGTTATAATAATCCTAAGTTTACAGGGTCTAGGTCCAACAATCAATCAATTGTAGAGTGTAAGGCATTGCCATAAAAAAATTAATATAAGTTTAAGGCTAATATATCTAGCTCGTTAGGCTCGTGAGCTAGCTCGTTAACTATACGAGCTGAAATGATGGCTCAGCTTGTTGAAAAATATAAACAAGCCGAGCCGAGCCACTAATGAGCCGAGTCAAGCGAGCTACGAGCTTTTCGTCCATCCCTATTTCAAAGAATCACTTTATAAAACTAATAAAGACTCACTTCTCAGTAAAAAAAACTACTTGACAGAACTTCTCCTAGATTCGGCCTCGAAGCTACTGTGGGAGCTCTGCCAAACTGGGCTTACTTTTTAGGGTCCAGATAGCAAGAAAAGAAATGGTAGTATGAATGGGCGTAAAATAAAATTCCTCATATCAACGGTCAGTGGGCCATCTGCAGATTTTTTTTTCGAAAACCGCCATCTGCAGAAATTAATACAGGCAAATCTGATGCTCCTGCCAGGCTGCCAGCATATCTAAACCAATTACATGCTGCCAGTTTTAGCACTAGGAATTTTGGTGTGACTTTATAAGCCCTGTTCATCTTGCTGAATCTTGGCTGAAATTAGCTGAAAAACACTGTTCTGACTGAAATGTTGGGAGAGAAAAACACTGTTCCGATTGAAAAAAAAAACCGAACAAGTCGGATTTAAGATAAGCCGAACGGGGTGTAGCTCAGACAGCAAAACCCTCCCAGCAGAGCCCCCCATGCATCTCGTGTGAGGTAAGCAACATCTTTTGATTTCTGACTTTCAGAGGAGAAACGTGTTTTTTCATCTCTGAATAATCTATTCAGATTGAATCATTGAATAGAAGATATATAGACATATGAATAGAAGATATATAGAGATATATTCCTAACTAGCCTTAGCTTCTTCGTTTAGATATAGATAGCTAGAGAAGAGAGATCATGTCTCTTGGTTTGTGAGCAAGAACCTGTGTCGTCGGTCATAGGCTGCACAAGATCTTGCTTTTGATTACTTCAATTAATTTGTTCTTCACGATTAGTTTGTATATGGCAGCCATCGCTAGCATATATAGCACATAGATCTCTCCATCTGTTTCCATTGTTCATCTCTGATTATTTTGTTCATCTCCCACAGGAGAGGGAAAAAGAAGCAATCTATACGTCTTGGATTTTTAATCTAGTATATTTTTGTAGAAGATCAGGGATCGGAGTGCTTGAGGATCCAAAGGTATAGCGAGACGACCAAGATCTATTGTCTATATACTTGTATGCATGCTCTTCCATTCCATTTCATGATAGTGTATAGATCTTAATAAGCAGTCTGGTCGTTTAATTTCTCGTATGTTTTATTATCTACTGTGTACTCGAAATGCGATCTTTCTCTGAGTTTATGTTCTTCCTTCATAGGATGATAAAGCAGGTTCTGTCGCTTGTTCGTTCTTTTCTAAACCCATTAATAGCCATAACTGTTAGAGTAACTAGGAATAGTACCATATTATCTAACCACGTGAGGTGTTAGTCCTATGTACTCTATATAATCAGCCCATGAGGCCCAATGCAATACAACACAATCTCCACCAATTATATTCTCCTTCATGGTATCAATCGCCTAGGTTTAGATCCTAACCCTAGCCACCGCCGCTTCCGCACCGCGCGCCCCCAGGGAGAAATCGATCTCTGCCGGGGGCAGCACCACCTCTTTAGGCGCCGGATCCTATTGATCCCGCGCCCTCTTCGTCGTCGTCAAGCGACAGATCGGGTCTTCTCGTGGCGCCGCGCTACCTCGCCGCCCTCACCGCGCTCGCCGTGGAGGATGCTGGGCGTCGCCCCATCCCGCGCCGCCGTGGTGGTGGCCCGAGCAGATCGACCCCAACCGCCATGGTGGCGGCCGGCCAATCTGCGTCATCCTCGTGCGACCTCGCGTGACCGCAACCCGCCGTGCGCCCCGCCTCGTCCGACTCTGGTAGCTCGTGCCGCGAGCCAGGACGAGCCGCGTTGAGGTGCACTGTTGCCGGGGTACACCTGATCCGTTGCTGCTGTATCTTTTTGGTTTGCCCAATCACTGATCGAGATTGAGTTGCCCATCGCCAGTCGACCTCGCGCATACCTACTCCGGCATCGGCATCGACTACAATGACATCTACATCTTCGACTATGCGGCCTGGCTGGGGCAGGCGATGCCGAGGGGACGCCTTCCCGCGTCGCTTCTCGGTCATTCAGTCCGCATGTCTACATCATCGGTTCGTTATCACCACCACAGATCGGGACGCCTCCGCCGGCTTCTTCCATACAACCAATTATGCGCGATCCACCTGGCTCCCGTGACGTCCATCGCCGAGTACTATGCGCATCTTCTCCGAGCAACAGGGCTGCTGGTTTGCTGCCGTGTCGCCTCGTCGGGCTGCAGCACCACCGTCCGTGTGTCGGCTTCGCCGTTGCATCTACATCACCGTCCCCTGTGCATCGACGACTGTACTGCGCACTCTTTGTTGTGCCATTCGTCTGCACAAGGTCTTCGTCCTGCTGATTGGGTCTTCGTCATCGAGCTGCCGCTACCCGCGCCATCGCTGAGCCATGTTCGCCGGTCGCACCCCTCGCATCGTCGCTGAGCCCTGCTCGCCGATGCTTCTGCTCTCGCACTGCTTCTTCTTCGTCCAGCACAACCACGTCGACAGCATCACCGTGGTTGGGGCCCTCTACCTTGTACGCCCGGTATTGGCAACACCGACGCGTGCTTTCGTCCCCGATGCGTTGCTGGGACTGGCAAACCCAGCCCACGCCTCGGCGCATAGGTGGCTTGACTGCATCGACTTCGGCATCGACCCTCCCGTTCCTACCCCGTCTGCCTCGAATGCGTCGTCGCCTTTCTTCTACGTCTACGACGGCCTTGACTGCATTGACTTCGGCATCGCCCCCTTCCACGACGACTGCCTCGACGCGTCTCCGTCATCATCATGGCGCCCTCGCGCGCCTGCAGCTCCATCGACATGGCAATCCGACCACAACTACGTCGACCTCGGCCATCTTCAGCACGGCTTCTTCGACCACGGCTATTGCGCCCTCACGCTCGGCTACCTCGACATCGGCACAAAGGGCTACCGCCTTGCATGAGGACTCATCGGCTTCTTCTCCAGCCACATCATATGCGCCGCATCGACTGTTATGACTGCAGGGGATGTTAGCTTCAGCTTCTTCTCCAGTCTCACCGTCTGCAGCGCTCCCGCTGTGACTGCGGGGGGATGTTAGAGTAACTATGAATAGTATCACATTGTCTAACCACGTGAAGTGTTAGTCCTATGTACTCTATATAATCAGCCCATGTGGCCCAATGCAATACAACACAATCTCCACCGATTATATTCTCCTTCAATAACAATTCTCTAGCTATACTGCGCTATTTCTCGAATACTGTGTAGAATTTCATTTAACTTAGGTTGTAGACACATGACATGAAATCCAGTAGGTATAGTTGTCTGTAATAAGGTCCATTCTCTAGCTCACGCTTAAGAAAAATACAGAAATTATGTGTTTAGCAGTCTCTAGCTCACGCTTTTCTCCACTGTATGTATATCTAGGGCTTTTGGGGAGACTAAAGGCTTCCTGTTGTTTTCCCTATTTGCTGTTGTCAACTTGGATCATGATAAATCTGAATTCTTTCCACGGGATCACAAATTCACAACACCTGCGATTTATTGCTTTTACTGAAGCTCATTTGCAGTCGCATTCTCTCATTAAGTCATGTAGTGTACATCTCCTTTGTTTACTTTAATTTCTCATGATTTGTTTGTTTCATTTTGTAGTCATCATGGCTTCGGGAAATCTGGATAACAAGGGCAAGAGCAAGGCTGTGCTGAATGATGACATCTCTGCGCCAATGGCAGTGGATGCTGTTCCTCTGATGGCGGCTGGCTCATCCGGAGGAGAGTCAGTGAGGTCGTCGGATGAGGCTATTCCTCCAGCGGCGATGGCGGCGCCGCCGGCGATCCATCCCGGATCCCAGTCCCAGCAACTTGACAAGAGCCTCATCCTCCTCATCAAATGCGTCATGTAGCAGTGCGTCAGGGCGATGGAGGCAGGGAACACCGAGGCGGCGAACAGTGCTCTGGTAGCCCTGTCGTCCATCTCATCCCTCGACGGCGACCCCATCCAGCGCCTGACGTCCGCCTTCACCGAGGCGCTCGCACGGCACGCGCTAGCGCCGCTGCAGGGCCTGTCCTGGTCTGTCCAGGAGCAGCTCCGTACGCCTCCGCCGCCGGCGTACGCCGGCGTGGCGCGCCAGTGGTTCCACTCGCTGAGCCCGCTCCTCCGCGCCGCCAGCTTGGCCGCCAACCACGCCATCGTCAAGGCGGTGGAGGGCGAGCAGGATGTGCACGTCGTCGACCTCGGCGGCGCCAACCCAAGGCAGTGGATCGAGCTGCTCCGCCGCGGAGGCCACGCGCCTGCACGTCCCCTTGGCGCTCAACCCGGTGCAAGCCCACATCGACAACTTCTCGGCTACCGTCATCGCGTCCCTCGGCGTGCAGCGCGGACCGGCCCTGGTGCTCTCGTCGACGCTGCAGCTCCACCGCCTGATCGCCGACGCGACCATCGTCAGGCACGCCGATCGGGAGCACGAGACGATGACTAGGGCGGACGCGCTCCTCCACGTGCTCCGCGACCTGTCCCCGAAGCTGCTGGTGCTGACGGAGCAGGAGGCCGACCACAACAACGACGGCGAGGGGCGGGGCGGGCTCTGGGACCGCGTCAACAGCGCCTTCGACCACTACGCGGTCCTGTTCAACGACCTGGAGGTGTCCCGCGTGCCGCGCGAGTCGCTGGACCGCGCGGTCGCGGAGCGGCTGCATCTCCGGGAGGAGATCGTGGACATCGTCGCCCGTGACGGCGCGGCGCGGCGGGAGCGCCATGAGAAGATGCTGCGCTGGGTGCCACGGATGGTGGCGGCAGGGTTCCAGCCCGCGCCGGTGACCATGGACGGATTCAAGGAGACGATGAGGCTGGCAAACCGGCTGTCCGACGGCGACAGGCAAAAGCCGCTGTATCGGGTAACCGCTGTGAAGGGGTGCTTCTTCGTCCACTCGTGCTGGGCCCCTATGTTCTCAGGGCAGCCGGCGCCGGGCGACGATCAGTGAACGAATGATTATGCGCCAGCCGCCACCGCCAACCCATGGATTTGGATTCTCCGCGCGCCGTACCGCAGATCCTTAGCTTTGTCATGGACTCATGCATGGTTCTCTAGTTAATTTCGTTTCGTTTCATCTCCTTTGGTTTGATCATCAGCTGAAACTTGATTGTTTGAACTAGTTGTGCTATACATGCTTATTTTATTTCTACTCCTGTCCTGTCTACTGGTTGTTGTCATTGTCAATTTTATTGCATGTATTAAATTAAAAATGGACTAGTTATTAGCATCCAAAGCTGGTGGCTTGCGTGCGACCCCTTGGTTGGTGTTTTCCGAGTTTAGCTTCATGTTTGCATGTTTGAATGCTTTATTTCTGCAAAATTATACATGCTTATTATACATTGCTGGAATGGCTGCACAGTAAGTAGACTCCAGATTGAAGTTTGTCGGCATAACAACAACTAACAGTAAGTAGACTCCAGATTGAATAATGAATTGCACATAAACAATTTAAATGAACATACAACAATTCCCTCAGTTTTCCGGGCCGCCCGTATCCGGGGGCACGGCTAGTATACCAGTTTATCAAACTCTGCGCAGAGGTGTACACTTTCACTGTGAGTCATGATTCTCATATGCCCGGGTTAGCTAGACCCAAAACACAGAGAACCATATAAAGCCACCCAAGAGCTCGTCTAACCGGCCAGGGCCGCAGGGTCATCAGATATAGGAACCCCTTCCAAAAATAAAGTAAAAGACCGCTTCCAAAGCTAGGCTCAACAGGACAGAGGCTGTCCTATACCCAACTCGCAGACCTCTAACCAGCTAGAAAAGGGTTTCCTAAGCAACTAGAGCCAGAGCCACATAGCCCTCACAGCTGTACTGTAAGTCCCAGCCTTTGCCAAAGGATAACATTCATCATTTATGTTTATATCACATTTCATTAAACAAGCCCAAAATCATGGTCACAGAAAGAAAACCCAAGCTATACTTGCCTTGATCAAAGCTCCTAAAGATCCTGCTGGTCTTGCTGGTCGTAGATGAACTCTTGATCACCAACGAAAACCTCACCGTCTATACTCGATCAACAACACCAAGCAGCAACATACAATCATCCGAGCAATCATACACGAGGCAAACAAATAGATTTAATTAGAACAGTACACCAACAGAGACAAATAGTTTTGAAAAGTTTATAAAACTATTCTACACGTTGCTATGATCACACAGACGCGAAGATCACGAAAAACAAAGCTATAACGAGAAAGTTATGGTTAAAGCAAGTTTTCCTTTTAAAGAAATAGATTAAATCTAAACTCGAATTTTAAAATTCAAAAACATGGTGACAAATTATATGAACATGTAGATCTCGAAAAGACGAATCTAACGCAAATTGAACGGCTCAATTTGGAGTTAAAATAAAGAAGTTATGAGCAATTAAAGACAGTGGCAAAACTGTAAATTAGATAGATCTTTAATTTTGAATCTGTTAAATGAAAAATACGTTTTCCAAAAGAGAAAACGTATTCTATGGAATACGCTAAGGACTGCGGGTTCGAAAACTGAGAAACCCAAGGGCTCTTTAGCAAAATTGACGGCCAAAGGGGTACGGTGCACTTTGGGTCGTTGGATCCAATCCGGACGGATCAGATTAGATCGGGAGGGAGAGAAGGAACCAGCTCGCCGGGGAAGACGACCAACACGGCGGCGGCCATCGCCGGTGGCGACCGAGCTCGCCGGAGCTCGCGGTTTGGGCGAACCAGTGCACAACAACACACGGGACCGGTACGGATCGAAAGAGAATCACGAGGCGAACTCACCTAGAGCAACGTCTCGGGTCGAGGCGAACCGAGGATGGCGTGCAGCTCGCAGAGGCGGACGGCGCAAATCTACAAAGTTCAGCAGCGATGAGCAAGCGATACTGAGCGAGAAAAAGATGAAGAATAGACGCGGAAGCTTCGCGAGATCATTGCGAAACTCGGCGGCTTGCTTACGACTGCGATTCGACCAGTGGAATGACGAATCGACCTAGGCGGTGGCTTTAGGGTTCGGCGATGGCGCTGCTAGGTCAATTGAAGGCAAGGCTGGTGCGAGAGCTTTCGGTAGAGCGAGCGGAGGCGGTCGCGCTTGCATTTTATAGGCGTGCAGGCGTGCGGCACACGCGCGGACAGTCGGCCTGGCGCGGTGGCGTCTAGGATTCGTGGCGGCGCTGGAGCTCGGGAACGAGGCGCTGGTGCTCTGATCCGGTTGCGGGTCATGCGGACGCGGTCGCGCTCACGATTTATAGGAGCGCGGCGTACAGGGCAAGCCAGGGCGGCGTAGCGCACGCGGACACGACGACGTTGTTCGTCTCGGACATGGGAGAGAGGAGGAAGACGCCGCTGACGTGTGGGCCTGCTTCGTCAGCGAGACAAAGAGAGAGGAGGAGGGCTACTGCCGCTGTGGGCTGCCGTGAGCTGGGCCGGCCGTCTCGGCCCAAGAAGGAGGAAGGAGCCGGGCGGGCCTGCTGGCGCGCTGGGCCAGAGGGAGGGAAACAGGCCGAGTGGGCCAGAAGCCAGGTAGAGAGAGGGTGAGGGTTTTACCTTCTCTTTTTTTTCCAAACTTTTGAATCCATTTCAAACAAATTTGAATTCCTTTTGATTTTGAAAAAAAACCAAATCAACTCAACAAAAAGTATGCACCAACATGAATGCTCAAACATGTATCTAACTTTGAGATTGATTTTATTTTTATAAATTTATTATTTGGCCTATGTTAAATGCTCACATAATTAACAAAAATAAATCATTTCATCTATTTTAAATTCAAACAAATTTTAGGGTGTTACAGTTCTACCCCCCTTAAGATGAATCTCGTCCTCAAGATTCGGGATAAGATAATCAAGGAGGTAGACACTCTGCCATAGGATCTTCCTCACTTTCTTTGGTGGTTCCCTCATCTTGATAAGGATTCCACTTTACTTCGCATACCCATTAACTTTACTCCAAAGTAACTTGCTCCGTGATATTAATTGATACTCTGAACAACTCTCTACGCTTCCCATAAAGATCACCTTGAGATGGTTGTGTGAACTCAATTGTATGACAAACTCTGGTCTCCACTGTTTCTAAAATGCTGCGCAGAAACTTTGTGCATGCTCTGTTATATGGCTTTTAAATCCATACTACCAAATCTCCTGCTAGATATATACACATCTAAAATGGCCCTCATTGTTCTCTTAGTCCAAAATAGACCCTGCCATCAACTTCAAAATGTTAGTGACCATGTTCCGGTTAGTTTACTCAATTCCTGGATCGTACTTCCTTAGTCCTTGGTTTCGCCCGAACCTTCTTATCATCACTCTCATTTGCTAAGGGTACTGGCAATGACTTTTGCTTCTCCTAATGCTAGCTCACTTCCAAACCACAACCATCTGGTTAACTGAACCCAACACTAATGTCACAAGCTCGAACCAACTTATGGAGAATGTCCTTTAGATTCTCATGATCCAAGTATGTCACTCTTACAATCTATGTAAATGCCACACTTGCATCCTTGAATGAATTCACATCATATGTCGCGTAGTTCAACCTACATCCCTTTTGCTGACTTCATGCATAAACCTTTAGAACACATCCATAACCTCGCATTTTAGAGAAACTCTGAGTCACTTCTACCTACTTGGGTGGGTCTGACTCAACACATCTCTCTTGGGTTCTACTCTTGGTAATACCATCATTAGACATTTCATAACCAAAAAGAGACTCCATTCAAGGTAAACTCACTCACTTAAGTTACCATAAAACCAATTGTAGATGTGTGATGTCTCTATTTGTTATCATCAATACCAACTTGTCTTGAGTGAAAGTACTTGAACACCCAAGTGATGATAACTCAAAACAAAACCCATTCTCGATGACCACCTGAGCTCCTTGTAGATGTTCCATCAAGTCACTGATCCAAGCAAAGGACTCTCGCACATGGATAGGCCTCCCAACCATAGATACAACTGCTCTTTCCAACTAAAATCTTTGAACGCATAAAACCTTCATTGCAACTTCTTCATCGTGGCTACCCCCCTTAAGAAAAGGTCAACTAGGGGCACCAAAGGATAGCTTGCTTCTTCTCCTATCCAATATATTCCAAATAAACTTATGTACAAAAACAATCTGATTTCTCCTGCGAGTAGAAAAATAGCAGCATAGTAAAACTGCTATAACTCTTGTTCTACAAATCCAATAATATTGTACTTTACACCGTTGGAAAGCTCATGAACTTATATACAACTTTTATTCAGACCATGTTCTCTGATTCTGACGTTAAGTTAATCAAAAACTGACCACAACAGAATCTGGTTTCAGATCCCAGACAGAACAGAAACTTCAGCTTGCAACAGTTATAAGTTTTAATCCAGAACTGATAATGAGGTGGTTCTTGCGGCGTTGGAAAGATACAGAGGTCTATTTATTCCCACAAAAATTTCATATCCATTGCTCGAACAGGTAAAGAGTTATGAGCTGAACACCGCTGACTGCTCTAGAAAACAGCAAATTCCGAGAAGAGATAAACCAACCCAAACTTTTTATTTATTAACTTAAAACTGAATATTCTTAACTAAGGGATCTGTAGACAAGCCTACAATATCCCAGCACTCATTACAAAGAAGCAAATCACTCATAAGCATAATAAGAACTCAACTAAGCACACAAGGTTCACACCACACTTAAAGACTCGATTAGACTCAACTTGCGCTTCTAGCGTCTTATTACAAGAGGGACTCCAAAACTATGGTCGAAGCGGGCTGCGAAGCAAATCATATATCCTTGGTTCTCCAAGTCTTTCCCTGAGGTCATCACTCTCCTTTTGCAACCTCTTGAGATCTCTTCCTTGCTGGTGCACTCGTATCTTCCAAATTTTGGCTATTTTTCACCATATCATAGGCAAAGTATACCGCGCCACGTGCGGTTGCATCTAAACCTAAAGGTTCCAGCATGCCCCATCCATCTTCTAAGTCCTTATTGGCATGGGGAA